TCTGACTGTCACAATATAAAATATATTTCTCCTGTGAGAGACCCAAATCTTGTAGGAATTTTTGCATCCAAAAGAGTTCCTTTGCAGCTTCTGTGGCGGCAATATACTCTGCCTCTGTAGTAGACAAAGCAACACATTTTTGCAATCTAGACTGCCATGACACTGCTCCCCCTGCAAAAGTCATCATATAACCAAAAGTAGACTTCCTAGAATCCACATCACCAGCCATGTCTGCATCTGCAAAACCATCTAACATAGGCTTACTACCTCCAAAGCACAAACAGACTCTAGAAGTACCTTTGAGATACCTGAGTATCCATTTCACAGCTTTCCAATGTTCTTTGCCAAGATTAGAGAGGAAACGACTGACCACGCCAACTGCATGAGCAATATCTGGACGTTTACACACCATCGCATACATCAAGCTACCAACTGCAGATGCATACGGAATATTCTCCATTTCTTCTTTGTCTTTCTCACTTGTAGGACATTGCATAGAGCTCAATTTGAAGTAACATGCAAGTGGAGTGCCAACTGATTTTGAATTTGACATATTAAACCTCTCCAATACCTTCTCAATGTACTTTTGCTGTGATAACCACAATTTGCAATTCTTCCTGTCACATGTAGTTCTCATGCCAAGGATTTGCTTTGCAGGACCTAAATCCTTCATTGCAAAGGACTTGCTCAACTCTCTTTTCAAATGCTCAATCTCTTTCATGTCATGACCAACAATCAACATGACATCGACATAGAGCAAAAGGATAATAAGTTTCTCACTAGGGAATTTCTTTAAAAACACACAATGATCAGAAGAATTTTTTTTATACCCATGATCCACCATGAATGAATCAAATTTCTTGTACCATTGCCTTGGATCTTGTTTAAGACCATACAAGCTCTTCTTCAATCTGCAGACAAGCTTCTCTTTACCTTTGACTACAAAACCATCATGCTGCTCCATGTAAATTTCTTCCTCCAAATCACCATGGAGAAATGCGGTCTTCACATCAAGTTGCTCAACCTCTAAATTCAAACTAGCTGCCAAACCAAGTACAACTCGGATTGAAGACATCTTGACCACAGGTGAAAAAATTTCTTCAAAATCTATACTTTTCTTCTGACTGAATCCTTTTACAACCAACCTTGCCTTGTACCTTGGCTGTGAGCTATTTTCTTCTGACTTCAATTTAAACACCCACTTATTCTTGAGTGCTCTCTTACCATTAGGTAGCTTCACTAGCTCAAATGTGTGGTTCTCATGTAAGGATTTCATCTCTTCTTGCATGGCTTTGTACCACTTGTCTTTCTCTTCATGTGACATAGCTTCTTCAAAGCTTTGTGGCTCTCCCCCATCAGTAAGCATCACATATTCATGAGGAGGAGATCTCTGTGAAGGATGGTGTTCTCTGGTGGATCTTCTCACTGGCTCAGGAGGTTGCTCTGGTGGAATTTGTTCAATTTCTTCATCAACTTGGGGCTCAGGAACATCACCTGCATTGTCCATATCTGCATTCACATCTCCCCCATTATTATTGACTATGGTAGGAGGCTCTGGATCAACATCAATGTACCTGTGGACAACCTGTTTCTGCTTTTCATTCTTGTCAATATCTTCGATGGTTTGGTCTTCAACAAAAATAGCATCTCGACTTCTAAGGACTTTCCTGTTAACCGGATCCCAAAACCTGTAACCAAAGTCTTCACGTCCATAACCCAAAAAGATACACTGTTTTTATTTACCATCAAGCTTGGACCTCTCATCTCTGGGAATATGAACAAATGCCTTGCAGCCAAACACTCTCAAGTGATTATATGAGACATCTTTCCCTCGCCACACCCTCTCTAGAACATCACCATCAAGAGGAATTGAAGGAGAAAGGTTGATCAAATCTACTGCAGTTCTCAATGTTTCACCCCAGAATGATTTAGACAATTTTGCATGGGAGAGCATGCATCTGATTCTGTCATTAATTGTGCGGTTCATTCTCTCTACAACTCCATTGTGCTGTGGAGTCTTTGGAACTGTCTTCTCAAGCCTGATTCCATGTTCCCTGCAATAATGCTCAAATGGCCCCCTGTATTCACCACCATTATCTGCTATGACACACTTCAACATTTTACCTGTTTCTCTTTCCACACTTGCATGGAAGTGTTTGAACATATCAAGTACCTGATCTTTGGATTTCAAAACAAAAGCCCACACTTTTCTCGAGTGATCGTCAATAAATGTCACAAAATAAGAATAGCCACTAAGGGATTTAACATCCATAGAGCAAACATCAGTGTGAACTAAATCCAAGATATGTGACCTCTTGTGAGGAGGGTGAGTGCGGAAAGAAACTATATGTTGTTTACCAACAATACAATCAGAGCAAGTTTTGAGAGGTGTACCTTTCACCGGAAGTAGATTTTTCCTTGCAAGAGTGTCAAGTCCCTTCTCACTCAAGTGACCGAGCCGCTTATGCCATAGCTCTGTAGAACAATCCTCAATTGCATTCACTTGAGGGGAACACAATTTTGTAGAAGTCCAGTAAAGGGTGTTTTTCTTCACTCCCTTTGCTACCACCAAAGTACCCTTGGTGCACTTCCATTTACCATCGCCAAAGGAATTATGGTAACCATCATCATCAAGTACCTGTACTGAAATCAAGCTGAGGCGCATATCATGAATATGCCTAACGTTCTTCAAGTGCATCTTGCATCCAACATTAGTTTCTACCCAGATATCTCCAATGCCAGCAACCTTGCTTACGCCTTGATTACCCATCTTTACCTGCCCAAAATCTCCAGCAGTATAGGATAAAAAATACTCACGATGAGGAGTAACATGATATGAGACAGCAGAATCAACAACCCATTCATAATCTTGGCATGCGAGATTAACTGAATCATCTTCGTAAACAACAACAACTTCACCATCAGATACAACTGCAGCTGTGTCTTTATCTTTTTTATTATCATTGCTTCTTTCCCTTGATTTCTCTCTCTTAAGCAACTTGCATTCTTTTATCATATGACCTGCTTTGTTGCAATGATAGCACCTGATGTCTTTCCTGGGCCTTGACTGTCCTCTTGACTTGCTTCTGTCATTAGATTTATGAGAGGTTCTATGTTGGCTTCTCCCCCGTGACTCAATAACCAAGGCTTCTGTGTGAGTCGATGAACTAGCCGTGTTGTTTCCCTTCCTCCTGATTTCTTCATTCAATAGGGCTTCTTTCACAGTATCAAAAGTCATATTTCCATTAGTGGAATTGCTCAGAGATACCACCAATGTTTCCCAACTGTCTGGCAATGAGCTAAGCAACAACAAAGCAATTATCTCATCAGGAAGTTTAATCTCAATAGTAGTCAGCTGATTCACAAGATTATGAAAACTGCTCATATGCTCTGCCACTGAAGAACCATCCTTGTACTTCAGATTAACCAGTCTCCGAAATAAAAATACCTTATTATGTGCATTCTTGGACTCAAACATGTCCTTCAATTTCTTCCACAGACTGTGGGCACTAGTCTCACTAGACACATGATGATAAATGCTCTGATCTATCCATTGCCTGATCATGCCAATTGTTTTTCTGTTTGCCTTTGTCCATTCTGCAACAGATTTATCATCTGGCTTAGTACCGTCTCCGTCAATGGGATCATACAAGTCCTTACAGAACAACAAGTCTTCCATCCGGGATTTCCAAATAGAATAATTGGAAGAATCCAATTTCAGCATAGTACCAGCCATATCACCTTCACCCATTTTAATAGCACCAAACAGAACTCCAACCAAGGAGCTCTGATACCACTGTTGGAAAAGAAAACAAATATAGGATATAGTAATAAAATGCGGAAGCTGCTGGATCAACTTTTCCCCTGCGTGCAGTTAAAAATAAGCTCCAAACAAAATGGCTCAGACAACAATAATAAGCACAAAATAAAGCAAATAAAATAAGGAGACACCAAAATTATTAACGTGGGAAAAAACAACCCACGGGACCAAGCCAGTAAATCTTCCACTAATAAATTAATGGATACACCACAAGTCCTCCTGGAACCATCAGGGATAACAACAGAGCAAAAATAATCTTCACCGTACAAGGTGGATATCAAATCTACGACACAACAATAAAGAAACACTCTTTGATATTTTTCTCTCTGTCTGTAGAGTCGCTCACGTTGCAGCTCTCTTCCCTCTTACTCCTGTTATCTCTAACACACAAGGGTTAAAACCCTTTAACCATTTCATGGGCTTTGACCCACAAAGCTAATTCCTTTTTTTTTTCTTCTTATTCTCTTTTAATAATAATAATAATAATAATAATAATAATAATAATAATAATAATAATAATAATAATAATAATAATAATAAGATTAAGTGGTCTCACTTATTTGATGACCCACACAACACCTATGTTATTTTTTATGCAAGTAAGCTAATACACGTGCCAATTAGATAATGGAAAATAGATTAATTTCACACTTATCAATAATTACATTTTCCATCATAAGATAGATTGTGTGAAAACAAGTGGTAGATTGTGTGATCATATCTAGAGGTGAAACTCATATTTATATAGTGGTTGAATTTCGATATGATTCTTGAAATACTATTTTCACTTATTTGATCTCGAAAATTCTCAATGGACACTGGAACTGACTCTAAGATAGGTGGACGTGCATGCATATACATATATGATACTAATTTGATATGATTTTGAATTTTTATCTTTAATTTGTTTTTATTTTTTTGTAATGTTAAAATGCAATAAAATCATATTCATTGTGGATTACACTCTCCTTGTTTTGTTTTGTCTATTTTAATTTGTTTGATCACACTATAGATTTCATCACACAAAAAACTATAAATAACATATGTCTCATTACCTAGGAGTCTTCCACCAATAATTTAGGATCTGAATTACAGACATAAAGAAACACAAGCTACCTGCAAAACAAAAAGATTTTTGAAAACATAGAATTTCACATCAATTCTTGCTGTAATTAACAGAATGGATGCCACACATAACATGTTTTGTAACAACGATCTTATTAACCCTCTAAACTCAATGGGCATGCAAGTTTCTTGTATTCTTGTTATTTCACACTTCTTCAACGTTGTCCTTAGAACCGTTGGTCAACCTGGACCCATTGCACAAATTATGGTAATAAATCAATGAATTACTTGATTCAAAATTATTAACATAAATTTAGTTGAATTAATTATTATTATTATTGCATTGCTTTGAATCACAGGCTGGTTTGGTGTTAGGTCCACTGTCACATATTTCTTACATAAAAGAAATATTCTTTCCTGCGAATTCGATGAATTACTACGAAGTTGTTAGCTTCTTTTGTCGCATAAACTTCATGTTTTTATTCGGATTAGAGATGAATTTCCAATACACAAGGCGTCATCTACGTTTAGTAACGTTGGTAGCATGTGGTGGTGCAATTATGGGTGCAATATTTGGTTTATCTGTCTCATTTTATTTATATGAAGAGTTGAATATAAGTTCCCCAATGCTTTCTTTTTGCACCATCATTATGTTAGTTGTAGCATACACAAGTTCCCCCATGGTCATCCGTTTGGCAGCAGATTTACGGTTCGCTGCGTCCGACGTCGGTAGGATCGCCGTGTCGGCTGCGTTGATTACAGAAATGATTTGTTTGTTGTTATTCAACATGATGGTTAATTGGAATAGTGCAAAAGATGTTTCAAGGGGTTTCTGTTGTCTCATTATTACTATTCTGGTGATTATTATGAATAGATACTTATCACTTTGGTTTAATGTAAGAGATAAAAACCAAAAATACTTAAAAGCCCCTGAGTTGTTAGTTATACTATTTGTGCTTTTAACTACCTCAATGGTTGTAGAAATTTGGGGTTATAATAGTATTATTCATTGTTTTTTCGTTGGATTGTTTTTTCCTAAAGAAGGAAAAACAGCTAGAACATTGCTTCATAAACTTGGTTATTCAATTTATAACTTTATACTTCCGGTATATTTTGGGTACATTGGTTTACAATGTGACCTCATAAATGTTTTCAAAAGTTTGGATAAGATAACAAATACAGCTATAATGATTTTGTTGAGCGTTGGAAGCAAGCTTGGTGGAACTCTCTTGGTTTGTCGTTACCTTCAAATTCCTACCAGTGAAGGAATTTTTCTTGGCTTTTTAATGAATACTAGAGGTTATGCTGATCTTCTTTTCATTGGTGCTGCTGCAAAGAATGTAATTCTTACCATTTTTAATATCTTTTCTTTTTATTTCTTTACCTTATCAAACACTCACTCACATCACACAATATAAACACTTGCATGAATTTTCCAATAACACGTGTCGTAGAGGGGTCATATAGGTGTCAAACACAGCACACCACACGACATAGACACTTGTATGAATTTTTTAACATGTATTGTATGAGTGTTATATAGTTAATCTGACACGGAACACGACACATCAAAGACACTTGTATGCATTTTTCAACATGTGTGGTACGAGTGTCATATATGTGTCTGACACAGGAGACGACACAACACAAACACTTATATGAATTTTCCAATACGTGTCGTACGTTTGTCATATAGGTGTCAAACAAGGGACATGAAACGACACATACACTTGTATAAATCTTCCAACACGAGACACGACATGGGACATGACACAACATAAATCCTTGTATGAGTTTTACAACATGTGTTGTACAAGTGTCATATAAGTGTTTGACACGGAACACGATACGACACAAACACTTGAATGAATTTTCTAACACGTGTCGTACGCTTGTCATAAAGGTGCCAGACACCTTGTCATAAAGGTGCCAGACACGGGACACGGCACAACATAAATACTTGTATGAATTTTTCAACATGTGTCATATGAGTGTCATATAAATGTCTGACACGGGACACAATACGACACAAACACTTGAATATATTTTCTAACACGTGTCGTACGTTTGTCATAAAGATGTCAAACACAAGACACAAAACGACAGACACTTATATGAATTTTCTAACATGTGTTATAATATGTAATAAAGTTTCTGACACAGGGCACAACACAACACGACGCATACACTTGTATGAATTTTTTTAACTTGTATCGTACTCATATAGATGTCACACACCAACACGTGTTAAACACTAGGACACACCTGATCATAGAGGCTTCCGTGCTTCATAGTGTCTACTTCCTAGTTATAATTACAGTTATCTAAAATTAACTATTAACTTGGTTATTGATGTATTTACAGACTCTTGATACAGAAGTTTACAATCTGTTGCTAGTAGCAATAGTACTTAACACAATAATATCAGGAATTATTGTGTCTTTTCTAGCAAGAGGAGAAGAGAAAATGTTTTCACATAATCATACAGCAATTGAGCCACAGAAAATGGAAGATGAACTTCGAATTTTGGCTTGCGTATACGATCCTCGTCAAGTATCTGCTATACTAGCAACGGTGCTAGCAATACATGGATCGAAAACATCGCCTTCAACGACTTACTTAATGCACTTAATTGAGCTAGTGAAGAAAATCAAGTCCAATTTATTGTACCATGAAAAAGAAAATGCTGACCTTAGTGACGATGATGACTATGGCGGAAACGATGTTGTTGAAATCAATAACTCCTTAGATGTATTCACATCTGACACAAAGATTTTGGTTCATCAAAAAAGAGCAGTATCATCCTTTCCATGTTTGTATGAAGATGTTTGTAATGAAGCTGAAGATCTTCAAGTATCAATCATCATTCTTCCTTTTCACAAGCATCAAAGAATTGATGGAAAGTTAGAAAGTGGAAAAGAAGGTATAAGGATTACTAACCAAAAGGTTCTCAGACACGCGCCTTGTTCCATTGGTGTTATCATCGAACGAGGACTAACTAAGGTCCCCGGTTTCTCGCAATTGATTGCATCCGATGGTATGCAAAATGTTGCAACACTTTTCTTCGGAGGACCAGATGATCGCGAGGCCATAGCTTGGAGCCTACGCATCTCAAAATGTCCTCGGGTAAACTTAACAATAATAAGATTTCTCTTGTCATCATCGTCGTCATCACATAACGAACATAATGATAACGGAGAACAATTTGACGAAAAGGAAATCTTAATGTCGTTGTCGGGAGAAGAGACGGTGAACGATATTGACAATACTTTTATGGTGGATTTCTATAATAGATATGTGACATCAGGACAAATTGGATATGTGGAAAAGTTTGTGAAAGATGGAACACAAACAGTTGAATCTTTGAAAGAGATTGGAGACATGTACTCTTTGTTTATAGTAGGAAGAGGTGGTAGAGGAAATAGTTCATTAACAATAGGTATGAGTGATTGGGAAGAATGTCCTGAACTTGGAACAGTTGGGGATGTTTTGGCTTCTTCAGATTTTGATATTCATGGTTCTGTTTTAATAATTCAACAACATAGAGATGTTAAGAATGGTCTAATTCATGATTAATTAAGTATTCAAGTACAATAATTATGTACTTAACTTTATAATCATTTACAGTGTACAGATGAAACTTTTTTTGAGCATAGTTATAGCCATGAAATATCATGAAATGTAAAATGATAGCCATGAAATATAATGAAATGTAAAATGTCACCTCATAACCTAGTGCACTTTAAAATGTGTGTGAATGGGAGAATGTTTTGAGCTAGTGGAAATTTTTTAAGATAAAGTTCAATGTTTTAAGAAAAATATTTGAAGGATTTTTAAAATGAAAGAAAATTATAAAACATTTTGTCCAGAATAAATTTTGTGAATTTCAAATGACATTTAAAACTAAACAATTTCAAATTCCTTTTTATTCTATACAATGTAAATTTTAAGTAGATTCATATTAATCTTTTAAAAGTTAATATTTTTTAAAATTTTCAAAATGATTCACACATTTTTTAAATTTTATAAATTGGCCTCGACTTTTTAAATTTGCTTTAAAAATTTTTAAAAATTTATAAAAACAATCTAAAAATTAAAGTTGAAGAATTTTACCACTACAAGAAAATGTTGATTTTTCCAAGTGATTTAGTGACGTAGTAAATACGTGGTAAAAAAATGTGTTGTCAAGTGATTCCCACGTTATTAAAATATTTAATTAATAAATTTTGTACACCTAAAATCTGCAACGAAATTTTGGAATTTTAAGAGAGGAAAATTTGAATTTTTCACAAATTCAGTTATGGCGTGTAAATCACAAGGGAACTGAAATTTCAAAAAAGTCCTTTTATTTGCCACGTGATTAGCATGTCACAAAATACCCACATGTCTTTCACCTCACAAAACTGCAAATAGTAAATGCCTAAACTTTTTCATTAACTTATTCATTAACTTATCAGACACATTGGTTTATGGAATTGAATGTGACAACCTTGCGAAGTGTTTCCCACGTCGTAACCCACTTACATAAATGATTTTCTTAGCGTTGCATTGACATTTAGTGGAGCAACAACTATAATTTAATATAGGGGAATGTTCCGACCTTTTTCCCACGTCGCAAATTTCCTAAGCGAATTGCACGTCGCAAATTTTGAAAAGGTAAGTGGGTTCCGACGTGGTTTTCACGTGGGTACCTTCCCACGTGTCCACCACGTCGCAAGTGTCCTTATATATGAAAAATCCCAGAATTTCTTCAGTCACATTTCTTTTCACTTCTTTGCTTCTGCCTCTTTCTTCTTCCCCTTCCCTTCATATTGTTCTTCTTCTGCCTCCATTTTTAACGAAAAATTTAAGGTGAAGCATTTGTATGTTGGTTTTGTGACTGTTTTACCTTACCGTTTATTTTATGTTTTTCTTATTATTAACGGTTGATTTTTTTTTTTCAGATCTAAGATTGATTAAGAAGTTCCATCGGAAGCTTTGAGAGTTAGCTCAGAGGTATTTATGCATTTCAATTTGTTTATATTTGAAATTTTTGTGATATATGAAATATTATTTTAGAATATTGATTAGAAAATTTTAGATTTTTTGTTGTTATATATATATATATATATATATATATATATATATATATATATATATATATATATATATATATATATATATATATATATATATATATATATATATATATATATATATATATATATATATATATATATATATATATATATATATATATATATATATATATATATATATATATATATATATATATATATATATATATATATATATATATATATATATATATTGTGTTGTTGTTGTTGAAAGAAAAAAATAAAAATAATATGTTATGTATTTTTAATTAGAAAAACAGAATATTTATTAGAAAGAAAAATAATATATTAGAAACAAATTAAATATGTTATGTATTTTTAATTTTTAAAAAAAGAATATTTATTATGTTAGAAAAAGTAAAATTTTTAAAAATATTTTTAGTAAACAATATTGTAAATAGAAAAAATTAAAATATATTTTTTATAAAACATAAAGAATATGTATTATATTTAAAATGTGTTATTTTTAAATGTATTACTTTTTGAAAAAGTATTTTTATTAAAAAATAATGAATATGTATTAAATGTGTTATTTTTAGTAAATCAATTATATATAGTATAGAATATTATATTATTGAATAGTTATTATATTTTAGTAAACATAATATATATTATTTTAAAAAAACAAATTTTTAAAAATAATGAATATATATTATACTTTAAATATGTTATTATTAGTATAATATATTATTTTAGTGAATTTATATTATACTTTAAAAATAATGAATTTAAAAATAATGAATATATATTATACTTTAAAATATATAGTGAATATATATTATACTTTAATGAATATATTATACTTTAAAAATAATGAATATATATTATACTTTAAAAATAATGAATTTATATTATTTTAGCGAACATATTTTATTAGGTTGGTGTCGAAATAGAAAAATAGATTTAAATTACATATTTTATTAAAATGATATATAATGATAGTACAAATGTGCAGTATGGAATATTTTCGTTACTATCGTAGTTGGATGTACGATAGAACGTTAACAGGCAGACGTGGACTTACGCCATATTTTGAGGAAGGAGTTAAGGGGTTTATCACGTGGCCATTTGCACAAGAATGTTGTCGACGTGAAGGAGGAGTGAGATGTCCTTGTCTTAAATGTGAATGTAGACCTATAATTAGTGACCTAGAGGAAGTAGAACGTCATTTGAAGAGGAAGGGTTTCATTAAAAGTTATTGGGTTTAGACATATAATGGAGAACAACTACCGAGTAACGTATATGCAGAGATAACTAATACACACGCATCAAGCAGTCGATCACATATGGAATTTGATGAACAATTTAATATGATCGATGAAATGGTTGGAAATGCATTTGGAGTAAATGTGACATATGATGAACCTCAGGATTTTGATGGGGAAGAGTTGTCGAATGAGGAAGCACAAAGATTTTACCAATTGTTGAAAGATATTTACACCATTGTTTGAGGGGTCGGCAGATTCAAAATTATCAATGTGTGTGAGATTATTGGCCGCAAAGTCAAATTGGAATGTTCCTGATCAGTGTTTGGAATACTTTGCAAAAATGATGTTGGATGTGACTCCTACGAAAGACAACTTGCCTACAAGTTATTATGATGCAAAGAGGTTGGTGTCGAAGTTGGATTTAGAAGTACGAAAGATTGATTGTTGCATAAATGGATGTATGTTGTTTTATGACAATGAGTTTGGTATTAATGATGAGGCGCTGGAGGAATGTAAGTTCTGTAAGAGTCTGAGATATCAAGTTCGTAGTAAAGTCATTAACCGTAAACAAAAACGTGTAGCAGTGAAGTCCATGTTTTATTTGCCGATAATACCAAGGTTAAAAAGATTGTTTGCTTCAATGCATAGTGCAAGTCAAATGACATGGCATCATACAAACAAAACATCTCCAGGCATTATGCGGCATCCATCTGACGGTGAGGCATGGAAACATTTTGATAGGGTACATTCTGATTTTGCTGCATAACCTAGAAATGTCAGGCTCGGACTATGCTTTGATGGTTTTACTCCATAAGTCCAAGCATCTGCAATTGCATATTCTTGTTGGCCAGTTATCGTAACCCCTTACAACCTCCCTCCAGAGATGTGCATGACAAAACCATACATGTTTTTTACTTGCCTCATTCTAGGACCGTCAAGTCCTAAATCTGGAATCGACGTTTATTTGCAACCTTTAATAGATGATTTGAAGAGGTTGTGGATTGGAGAATGGACCTATGATATATCTCGCAAACAAAACTTTACTTTGCGAGATGCCTTGATGTGGACTATTAATGACTTTCCCGCTTATGGAATGTTATCTAGTTGGGGTACGCATGGAAAAATGGGATGTCCATATTGCATGGAATTTACAAAGGCTTTTACTTTGGAATTTGGAGGGAAAAGTTCGTGGTTTGACTGTCACCGCAGATTCCTACCACGACACCATGTATTTAGAAGAAACAAGACTGATTTCAAAAAAGATGTACGAGTAAAATATTTTCCTCCTCCGTGATTGTAACCAGAGGAAATATGGAATCGAGTTTCTGAACTGCCAAAATTTTCAGATTATGGTGAAGCATGCCGAATTGAAGGATATGGGGTCAAACACAATTGGACAAAAAGAAGTATATTTTGGAACCTCCCATATTGGAAAGATAATTTATTGCGACATAATCTTGATGTTATGCATATTAAAAAGAATTTCTTCGATAATATATTTAACACAGTGATGGATGTTCAAGGCAAAACAAAGGATAATGAGAAGGCTAGAAGGGATATGGAAATTTTGTGTGATAGAAAAGAGTTGGAGTTGAAGTCTCAGCCTAATGGAAAATTATTAAAACCTAAGGCATGTTACAGTCTAACTTCCCAAGATGCTAAAGCGGTTTGTCGATGGTTAAATGAATTGAGAATGTCGGATGGTTATGCATCAAATTTGGCAAGGTGTGCTGACACCAAAACTGGGAAGTTGCATGAAATGAAAAGTCACGATTGTCATGTTTTCATGGAACGATTGCTTCCAATTGCGTTCAGTTCACTATCCAATCATGTGCTATATCCGCTAATTGAAATAAGTCAATTTTTCAGAGATATTTGTGCATCAACATTAAGAGTCGATAGCATCATTAAGTTGGACCAAAATATTCCAGTTATTCTATGCAAGTTGGAACGAGTTTTTCCACCTGGTTTTTTCGACTCTATGGAGCATCTACCTGTGCATCTTGCATATGAAGCCTATCTTGGAGGCCCCGTTCAATACAGGTGGATGTATCCCTTTGAAAGATTCATGGGTGATTCAAAGCGATCAGTGAAAAATAAAGCTAAAGTTGAAGGATCAATATGTGCACATTATTTGCATCGGGAAACATCACATTTTTGCAGTCATTATTTCAATCATTTGATGTTAACTCCAAGATAAGGAATGAATTTGATGTTAACAAAAGAAGTCAATTTACCTTGTCAATCTTCGGTCTTCCCGGTCGCCCTTCTGGAAAGGAGAATGTGCATTGGCTGACTCAAAAAGAATTGCAATCTGCACACGTTCATGTTCTAATCAATTGTATTAAAGTTAGGCCATATCTTGAGTAAGTATACCCCTAACGTAAGTACCTATCTAGCTTTACAAATTGAATTATTACATTCTAAATAATAATGTGTTTCTTTATAGGGCATTTAACGCCTCCTATTTTCAAAGCACCGGTGAACAAGCAACTACCGGTCACATACATGCATCTTTTCCAGCATGGTTCAAGGATCAATTGTCATGCATTGTTGCACCGACTCAAGAAATACTTCATTTGCGAAACTTATCTAGAGGGCCTGTTCAAAGAGCAATTGAATGGCACACATACTTTGTGAACGGCTATAAATTTCACACCCAGGCTTGGACAGAAGGGAAAAAAACCATAAATAGTGGTGTATTTGTTAAAGGAGTTACAGATGGTGGTGAAGACGAATTCTATGGTGTTGTTACGCATATTTACTAGTGGAAAATGATGCTTACCAAGAGCATGAAATTTATCAAATTAATGATGTGGTTGAAGTTGAAGAAATTACAAATTTGTGTGATACATTGGCCGAGGGTCATCAAATTGATGCATCTGTGTTGTTGGTAGATAATAATGTGGACGAAGAGCATGAAGAATTTGGATCTAAGGAAATTATTGGATCAGATGATGAAAATAATATGGACGAAGAGCATGAAGAGTTTGAATAGATAGTTTTTATATGTGTTCGGACAATTTTTATTAATGTATTATTTGTTTTATATGAATGCAAATGATTTTTACGTATGTATATTGTGTTGATAATAGTCTTGATTTATTTACGTACTATTTATTTATTGATAACTCTTTCAAAATAGATATAATGCCACCCCGAACTGACAAGGGTAAGGCTAAGGAGACCCAGCCTCGTTCGAGAGTTAGAGTACATGAGGTACCGCCTCGCCCATGTATGCTTCTCGCCCACAGACTCAAGCAGGTCTAATGTCCGTAGACACTTCACAGCCATTTACGACATTACTTTCCTCCTCCCAAACGGTTCCATCTGGGAATCCATCGTTTATTAGTCCGTTTGGGGGATCCTTCATGCATCCACCTACGTTTATGCAGCAGTCAGGGGGATCTAGTTTTCCTAGGGGAACTATTTTTCTTCCTCAACATTATTCCTTCACACAGCCTGGGGTATCTGTTTTTCCTCAGCAGTATTCCTTCACGCCGCAACCTTCAGGATCTAGTTTTCCTCAGCCGACTCCCTCCACACACCAGCTAGAGGGATCTGGCTCCCTCATTCCACACCCCACACATATACATGCGCGTCAACAGCAGGATGACCACATTATTCAGGAGGATGACGATGTTCATAAGGAGCAGAGAAATCCTGTTGCAGAAGAGCTTTTGGTGATTGAAGGACGACATTTGATTAGGCCTGAGGGATCTGGGTATGTTTTTAATTTATAATATTTATTTAGCTATATATTTCCATTTTATGTTTAATACTCATTCAAATTATTGTTGTTTAGTTTTGATCCGTGTCGGCCTGCTGCAAAAGCTGTAAACTGGGTCATTCAAGTGATGTATACAAAACTCATTAAGTCTTTCGGAGAGCTCTCAGATACTGAGAAAAATATATGGTTTGATAAATTCAAGGTAAATTGTATTTTTATTATAGTTATATTGTTATTTTATAACTATTTTTTGTTATATATATATATATCTAACATTTTATTTTACTGTCATATAACTTGCAGGAAAGATGTACTTGGCAAAAATTTGACGAGTTCAAAATTATAAAAAAAAAATTAGAAGTAAGGTATCTAGCAGATTATCTGACATGCCCAGTAATGCTAGACAGCGTTGGGACAGAGATCAAACTCATCCTAACTGGATAGGCGAGGAAATATTTAGGGAACTTATTGAGTGGTGGAAGACAGAAGATTTTCAGAGAAGATCTGAACATGCTAAAAAGATGAGGGCATCTGAAGCAGGTGGCTGTCTTAGTACAGTTGGAAGTATTAGTATCGGCGAACATCGTCGATGAATGATAATTATAATTATTTTTTTAAGTTTTATTTTGTATTATTATATATTTAATTAAACTTCATTATTTTAATTAGAAAAAGGATTTGGGGAGGGAGCCACGAATTAATGAGCTATTTGTGAATACCCGAACCAAAAAATCGGGGGAGTTTGTTGACGGCTGTTCCAAATCAACCTTGGTAACTTGTTTATTATAGTTGAATTCTTTTAATTTCATAATTACTGTATATAATTAAATTGTTTAAATTATATTTAATTTTTTTAATGCGTGTGTAGAAGATGTACCAGACCTTGCTTGCCCAATTTCTAACTGAAAATCCTCAATATGTGTCGATTGGGAATGCACCGCTTGATCCACGCGTGGATCTTTATATTTGGAATTTAACAGTAGGCGGGAAGGGAGTCAATGGATGTTTTTTTGGTCTGGGGTCTTTGGCTGGCGATTATAGAAAAGGAGACCGAACTTTATTTCAAAGACTCGATGATGGGGAAGGAGGATCTCGTCCGGCAGAATTGACACCAGAAATGTTGACAACAGTGAGACAGTTAGCTCTATCTGAGGCGAGACGAGAGGCGGAGGCACGTGAGGCGGCCTTAAAGGCCGAATGGAGAATATGAGAAATAGACAAAATGCTGAAATAGAGGAAATGAGGAAGCGGCAATCAGACATGGAGGCACAAATGCGAAATTTTTTTGCCTCGAGATCAGATTATTCTGTCCAAGATGATGAAGAAGACGAAGATGCACAATTCACCGACGAAGAATAACTTTTTTTTATTATTGTTTATATTTGTGACGTGAATATTACGTGACAACATTTTTTTTTATATTTGTGACGTGAATTTCATGTGACTAAATATTTATATTCTTTTAATGTATATTATTTTAATTTTTTAAATTTTATAGTTAATATTTAATATTTATTTTAATTTTATAGCTGCTTTCAGTTAATATTTATTTTTATTATATTATTATTCAATTTTATAGTGAAGTGAAAACAATGTCACTAATATAAAACATATTTTCGTTGTGGCATGTATATCACGTCACTAATTAGTGACGTGAGAATCACATGGGAAACAATTTAATTAGTGTCAGAATTAACGTGCAAAGCCAGTGACGTGAAAACCAAGTCACAAATTAGTGACGTGGGAATCACATGGGAAACAAATTTAATTGGTGTCAGGTAGGTGTGTAGACAAAATTGTTAAAGGTAGGTTCCCACATGAATATCACGTCACTAATTAGTGACTTGGTTTTCACGTGGGAACTTTTTCTCTTATTTTTGTTATTTGCGACGTGTGATCTATGTCACAACTTTGTGACTTGTTTTCCACGTGGGAAAATGTTCCCACCATTGCATTTCTGGCGTGTTTTACCCACGTCGTAAAAGTTGATTAGTGAAGTGATTTTTGGGTTAGTGACGTGAAAATCACTTGGGAAAATGCAATGTTTCTTGTAGTGTACCAGCTATCCTAACTAAAAAGATTAAAAATAAAAGAAATTCAATTAAAATATATAAATTACTTAGAATTTTAAATTATATACATTTTCAATTTACATCATCCAAAAGCACCACTAGAGTGGCTTTGCATTAGAAAATGTTGAGATAATGTATTTTTTTTTTAAGAAAGTTAAAATTCTCTATGTAAATTTCATTGTTTGGATGAAAATTTTGGAGAATTTTAAAAAATACGAGAATTTATGAACTATTTTGCTCAAATTAAATTTAGGAAATTCAAAATTTCATTTTGTATTAGTACATTTGTAAGACCTGTGAGAGGAGACAAACTATGTGAGTGACGCATCAACTCACCATAACATTCTCCTGATTGTGCGTTTACGAGATCAATCGCCTGTTTACTATTGGATGCGTCGCCCCTTTCTTAAATACGCCACCTATTTCTAGAATAATTTTTCAAGCGTGGGAGAATAGGGAAGTGATGTGTCCATTATTCACTACAATGTGGAATAATTCATAGGGAAGTTAACTACATTATCCTGAATAATATGGGAACGACTATCCAGTCCCTCATTCTCTCAACGTTAGTTGCTATTTCCAAGGGGCATGTGATTCAGGCCCGATACAGCTATAACTATCTCAACCCAAAAGTTGAGAGAGTATAATCTCAGTCTAATAGAGAAAACAATATACATAGAGCTTCCCACCTCCATACGTTAGCTAGATCTCAATTCTGCAACAACCTTAAAGCCTTTGACAACCCTTAATCACTAGGGATTGTCATGTGTTGTACTTTAGCAAGTACAATTGGCACCCATTGTGGGGCCCTAGTAAAGATGACATGAGTCATCATAATAAAATTCTTTTGGATTGTTGTCCTACATTTATCCTCTCTGGCCTCTATGGTGAACAAAAAGACAATAACATCGACTACCAAAGAATCTGACAACAAGGAAAGCGCCATGGCAAAGACATGTGCCGCCATGAACGAACTTCATCACCATAACAAAATTCTAGAGGATGACATCATCTATATTCAACATCGTTGGCAGAGCATAGACCCTACATACGAGGTAGAGATGCTAGACCCCTAACCTCTTCCAGAGGAGATATGGGAGGCACCCATTCTAGAGAACTTTAAGCCATCTTCATTGACTAAGTTCAATGGGCGCAATGACCCATATGAACATGTTGCTTCCACCAACGCGTAGATGTCCATCATTGGAGCCATTGACTCTTTGAAATGAAAGTTACTCACTGTCCCCTTCAGATTTGCACCCTTAAAGTGGTATATGGGCCTGCCTTGTCTCTTCATAACCAACTATTAGGAATTAGAAAAGAAAGTATCCCATTAGTTTGCAGCAAGAAGGCACAGAAATATGGTTGTCACTAGTCTCTCCAACATTCTCCAGGGTTCTTCGGAATCTCTAAGGGAATACCTCACATGCTTTAGTGAGACGACAATCAAGGTAATTCATTCCAACAAGGAAATGTTTGTAGGAGAATATCAAAACGGGCTCGGGGTGGGGCCCTTTAATGAATACCTCACATACAGGTCAATAGTGTCCTTAGTCGAAGTTGTGAAATGGGTGGAATGCTACATCAAGGGTGGGAAAAGCAGTACTGAAAAGAAATTATAAGATTTAAAAGTGTGCACATCACCGTCAAAGACAAGACAATGTTTAAGCAAAATGGAAATCCAATGAGAGTTTCACGCGTTTGAACACTCGTAAGGAGCATATATGGCAAGAAGTCCTCCACATGCATAACATCCTTCAACCATCAGCTTCAAACATAAACCTTATAGGACATAATCCTAGCAGATGGTGCGAGTTCCACAAAGTCAAGGGACCCATATTGAGGAGTGCTATCAGCTCAAGAAAGAGAAAGAATGTCTGATCTAAGAGAGGCACCTGAAGAAGTATGTCAAGGGCTCATCCGCTCGAGGGTCACGAGAATCTAACTCTAAGGGGAGAGATGTCTC